TTGCCATTTGAAAACTATTATAGCCTCGACTTTTTCGTATTAAAATTTTCGTCTCAAAACGTTACAAAGTACTTGTCATTAAAATATTTATCGCCAGTTTAGGTACACCCTGTATATATAATATAAATATATCTTTAATATAAATATATAATATACTAAGTATGACAAGATATAAATACAATGAAATAAATTGGTTATGTGGCGGTCGCAATACGTGATCCGGCACAAAATGGCAATCCGGCACTGCGCGACACGCGCGCGGGCGCGCGAGCGCCAGCTTCTGAGTAGTTCGCCGACCGCCGCTAGGCCGCGCATGGTGGCGGCCAAAAACTCGGAAGCAAAATCCAGTCTCGTAGGGTATAAAAGGAGACCCGCTTAAGGGGAGTGATTCTGCACTTTCGCACCTTTTGCACTTAAAATTGTGCTATTCGTGGAAAGATTTGTGTATTACACAAATCTTTCCACGAAACAGACAGTTTTAAGTGCAAAAGGTGCGAAAGTGCAGAATCACTCCAGCATCCCCTTAAGCGGGCCTCCTTTTATACCCTACGAGACTGGATTTTGCTTCCGAGTTTTTGGCCGAACTACTCAGAATCTGGCACCCGCGCGCGTGTCGCGCAGTGCCGATTGCCATTTTGTGCCGGATTGCGTATTGCGACCGCCACAGGTTAATTAATATTTAATTATTAAAAATCCTATCCAAAATATAGGTACACATTTGTCAAAAACACGTCCGTTATAGGTCCAAAACAGGTCCAAAATAGATCCAAAGTTGGATGTATTTTGGACGTCCTATGGATCTCTAAGTCCCAGTCTACAATAGAGATTTAAGCCCTAAGCCTTAAGAAATTGACTAATCACAGTCGCGCATTCTACTCATACTTGACCGTGATTGGCCAATTTCTTAAAGCTTAGGGCTTAAATCATCTATTGTAGACTGGGACTAAAGCAGTGTCATTTGGACATCCCATGGGCGTCCAATGGACATCCTACGGGCCTTAAATGGACCTACTTTGGACGTCCGAATCAGTCCGAATGTCCAGATGCGGCCGTCCATCGGACATCCTGTGGACGTCCATGTGCTATCTGGGTTATGACGGAATTGCAAACGGTTGCGACAAAGTGTCAAAGGACAAAAAGAAAGGGGGGAGAAAAGGAAGGCCTCGCAAGGTTTCGAGCATCTCTGCTCGCGCCGCGTATACGCAATCGACCCGCGCGGGCCTCGATACTGTTCGATACGCGGCGAGGTTCGCGCGATCGTCGGGACACTCGCTCGCGCGAGACGACGGGATCTCTCGCCCTGGCGTGGGAATGGCGGCGTGGGCAGCGGTGCGAAAAGCCTCGTCTCGAGCCGCAGGTATAGCACGCACGCGAATCTCCTCGTTCTCTCGTCCCGCGCGCCTCTTCGTATCGCGCGCGCGCGCTCACGCGAAACTTGAGTCACGTTGTACCGGCGCGTTATCGGTTATCGGCCGAAGCGCGCTCCTTCATTCTCCCACCGTAGCGCGAGACGGAGAGGGAGGGGGAGAGAGAGAGAGAGAGAGAGAGAGAGAGAGAGAGAGAGAGAGAACGTGCGAACGCTCCGCGCCGACCGCCGTGCCGTCGCAAACGTGCTGCTCGACGTGATCGAGAGCCTCTCCCGGCCGCGGTTACTCTTAAGACACAACTTGGCAAGCGGGGCCGCGTATTCACGCTCATGTATATGGCTTCAGTTGAGGAGCTGGATCATCAGGTCGACAGCGGAATGGGCAGCAGCGACGCGCGCTCCCCCGAGGTGAAGTCGCTCCTCCCCGACGACGAGGACGACGACGAGGAGGTACGGACGAGAGTCTATCTCATATCAGGGGGGGGGGAAAGAAGATAAGGACGATCGCTCGCGAGATAGTAACCTCGTGGCCTCGAGCTCCCGGCGCAGCTCACCGCCGTGGCGTTCGCGACGAGGCGCAGGACGTCCCGTGGGGATCAGCGTCACGGCTCCCCGGGATCCTCCGTGGCCGTCGCCCCGAGTCTCGCGGTGCCGGAGATCGAGAGATAGCGCGCGACGACGAGGGGAAGGCCGGCTGTCCCTCCGGCACCACGCCTGGCGCTGATATTCACGATTGTACACGCGACCTGTGTGCACCATGTGCTCTCGACGGCTGTCTAAGATTAAAGGGATATTTATAGGGCGATATTCATAGTCTTGGTCTTGTATTCGAGTACTCGAGACTCTGGTAGGGTCATTTAATTCGTTGGGCGAAGCCTCGAGGCCTGGTTTCACCAGCGCCGCTTGGCTCTGATCTTGTAATGCAATTCATCCTTCGTCTCGTTTTTTTACTGCTTTGGAAAGAGAGCAGAGCGAGTTAAGATTAAAGTTGAACGACGCTGGTGACACCCAAGTCTTTTTCATGGTAAGGCAACCTGGACTGTAACATTGAACTGAACGTGTGCCGCTGACATCGCATTCGTTAGCGGTGACATTGGTTTGCAAAAAAAAAATCGGTCACTGGTTGAAGTTAGTACTCGCGCAACCGTCTGGCCTTTAAAGTGTTGTTAACAGCGAAGAAGTAGCTGCCACTTCTTCCGTCTTATCGCTCTGGATATAATCAGTCGAAACGTTAAATTGTTTCTTTCAATATAGGATGAGAGCCTGACGGAGAGATTGCTAGGACTCACTGAAATGTTTCCTGAGCCGGTACGCAACCTCGGATACAACGTTGGAACCTGCCTGTGCACGTGTATCAAAGGTAACGTCACTCCTTTCAGTCTCGAGACGCGCGCAGACGCTTTCGAGCTAAAGTCAGCGACTCACAACGGATTGAATTACATGGACGTGTTCTTCGCAGGTCTCTACGCGTACTCGTGTTCGGCCACGTGGCTGGTCTTCAGCTCGTCCACCATTCTCTTCGCGCCGATCATCTTCGAGATGGAGCGCGCGCAGATGGAAGACCTGCAGCGCACGCAGCAGAAGCAAGTCCTCTTAGGCCCTAACACAGCTCTGTCCGGCGTCAACACCTCGGGTCTTCCAATGGCACCGCCCGTTCAGCGATAGGCCATTATATTCACACAAATTCACACGTGCACGCGTACAGGGACACGTACAGAAATGCCCAGCTAGCCAAAAGAAAAAAAATTCACTTGAGTTTCCGCACACTCGCATCATTCGCCAGCGCAACTCCGTACGATCGCGGGACGTGTCGCGGGAATCGCGAGCGGATATTCCGATCATTTGTCTCTGGCGGAAACTCGCGTGAATCGAGCGAGCGATCGTCCTGTTCGGTCGCCGAGTAACTGCCGAGTTGCGCGATGGACGTGAAAATTCGGAGTAAATGTAAATTTGGATTGCTCAATGGGAAGAGACACGGAATTGCAGCATTCATCGGTCTAGTCCACCCTCTGCCTCCTACACTTCTGCATACACACACACATACACACAAACACACATACATATGCACGTTGTCGTCGTTCCTCCTGGTAATTTTTACTAAAAACCAACACACATACTGTGGTATCGCGTGGCATTTTATTATCGAATGCGTTGCAGAAGCGACGGTGATGGGCGCTTCGTTGAAAAGAAACGACCCACCGTCACTCTGTTCGTTTCACGAACACATGATTGAGAGAAAAATTGAGCATTATTAATATTAATTACTAGTACATTCGTTTATTGGAAAACGTGGCGCTCGTCGTGCCGCGTGTGTTAATTATCTTTATGACGTGTTGCAATATATTGTAATTTCGAAAGGATGAATAAAAGACATAGCGGAGTAGCATCTTTAATCCTCTTCGTGCCGAAACTTTCGTGTGAAATTTCTTGTAGAGAACGAGTGAAAGACAGCGGCAGCCTTGTATATCATCGGTCTCTTTGTAAGTGCGTTCGATTATGTAACTTGCGTTACTTAGAAAAACAAATAAATGCGATTTTCCAATAGAAACACCGGGACGTTCAGTATCTTGCTTCTTAAAGACAACTTTATATTGCGGATCTTCACGTGTGAAAGCGCAATTTTTTTACGAAATCCGGCCCGATGTCACGTCGCCTCGTTTACTGGTAGAGGAAAGTCCCATATTATGAGATAAACTTCTGATATGAGATAGCAGGGCATTTGCTAAATTGATAGACATCATCTACTTGGTATCGTCGCGAACTTATTGCCTGTTATCTCATAGTAGAACCCTGTTAACTCAGCGTTTCTCAGAGAGAAGATCGCAAAGTAATGTTTCGAAATTACAAATAAAAATCTTTATACAAAGCCCTGCTCTATCCTATTGGATTTTTGCAGGGAGGGTCGCAATGTATTAATTTTACTATTCTTAACGTTCGTAGGGCGAGAACGTTTGAGAAACTGATCCGACAGGATACCGGGCAAACCCCCAAATAATTATAACTCCCAAGATTTGTAATAGCCGCGCCAGATTATTTATTATTATTTGGCGACGTTTTGCGAGCAATCTCGTCGTGCAACTCCACGCGTGCGAGCGCGCTCGGAGGCGCCGCGCATGATCCCGCGAGCGTCCGCCGACCGGCGCCACGAGCAGACGAATCGACGTCGGGGAAGATGAATCAAGCGAACGTTGAGAAGCTGGTGTCCAAGTTGAGATACAATGTCAAGCCACGTCGAAAGTTCCGAACTCCCGACGGCCCGGAGGGACGTCTTCGTAAGATCCAGAAGACCCTGACGGCTTTGATCAAGTACGAGCGACTCGAGCTGAATTATCCGAGGGCCGACGAGGCCAGAGGTTATGTCGACCAGGCATGTACTCGCGTTGTATCGTATCATTTACGAATGTAACAAGTACATTCGCCTAGAGCGTTCCAAGACATCGACAGCGCGATTGTTGTCTTTATTAGCGATTCCGTCATGATCCACGCGCAATATTTTGCTCCGAATCGTTCTCTGTGCGTTGAAATAAGAGCTGCTGTAATTTGCACTCGACGTTACCTCGTGCTAGTCTCACTTTGCATATTGTTGCCTCAGGCCCGGTTCCACCGAACGTCGCTTAACTTTAATCTTGGTTTAATTCACGTTTGCCTCTTTCCAGAGTAACACTGAGAACGAACTGAGTTAAGCTCAAAGTTAAGGGACGTTGGCGAAACCGGGCCTCAGTAACTTCAACTGGCCATTGTGGTCTACGTATATTATGTTGCATATATTTCTTTTCCAAGTTCATTTCGTTGCTGAAATCCTTGAGAGATTTCCATCAAAAGTACTACGAATAATAGTAGATGCGCCATGGTACGTGACAAATGAAATCATAAGAGGAGATTTACGTATACCGACCGTAAAGGAGGAAATAAACAACTTTTGTAAAATATATATCAACAGACTAGACAATCACTCTAATCAACTAGCAAGTAGGTTATTTCAAGAAAGCCATGACAAAGGAAGACTAAGGTCCAGTTTCACAAACGTCGGTTAACTGTTAACCAGAGTTCAGTCGACTTCCTATCTTTCTCTATCTTGTTATCCAAGAAGAGACAGAGGATCAATTAACCATGGGTTAGCGGTTAAACGGCGTTTGTGAAACTGGCCCTAAAAGAGATTCAAACCACTGGATAACCAAAAGACATTCAAATAAATTAAATTGATGTTATCGACTAAGAGGCCCAGGAAGTATAACCAAGCTTATGTAAACCAAAAGGTGTTTTCCAGTGAGAAAACATCGGCACACTTATAGTATAAAATTTACTTACTGTCAAAATTTGAGACAAATTGTAGATAAATCTGGGAGTTAATTAAAAAAGTATCGTTGCCTTATCAATAATTTTAGCTCGCTGTTGCGGTCCACGCTCGATATTGTTTTTGCAGCCAGTCCTACTTCGTATTGGAAATGTCGTGACAGTAATTTCACTTTACAGCTGATATTCGAAGCGATACGTCATGGACCTGCGCACAAGGAGACGATGGACATGGCTAATTTCTGGATAATCGAGAAGCAACTGGTGCACAAATTGTTCAAGATTCTCGTGCCGAGGTATCAGAACTATACCACCTCGTTCACGAAGCTTCACAAAGCGCCGAACGTATATCCCATAGGCCACTACGAGAGGGCAATTTTAGAACTAAAAGGTAGGTCTTGTCCTAGAGGTTCCTTGACGAGCGAAGCAAAGGTTTCATCTGCTTACGCAATATCCTTTTTCACAGGCAACATATACCCAAGCGTGGAACAGTACAATCCGCACGAGCGAAATCTACTTCACAACCTGCTGCTCGACGCGGCGAAGAAGGAGTACAGGATGGAAAAGTACCGAGAAGTCGCGGACAATATAAAGCAATAGAAACGAAAGGCAGGGAGAGCCTGCGGGAGAAGCTCTTGTACAGTGCGCGTTTTTGTTAAATATTTAGGACTTTTATTAAAATAAAAGAGTATAAAAAATTCGCGACACAAGAGGTAATTTTCTCGTCTCTTGCGCGCGCGTAAGAGCTTAATAGATAACGCTCCTCGGAAGTCTTCTTAGCGCTTCTCCATTTCTCCCCCTTATTTTGTCTGCGAGTAAGAGCTCAATGGATAATGTTCTTTGAATTCTTCTAAATGCTTCTCCATCATATCCATTTGCTTCCTGAAATCCGCGAGATGTTGAAATTTGCTGACAGAGTTAATTGATTACTACATTGGTAATACTGTATGTTGTGTACTTAAGGTGATCGGGAATTTCCTTGTAGACATCTGTAAACAGGTGCTTCCAGTGTGGCTTGACCTTTTGTTCTGCCTCCTTGAAGGTACGAAGGATTTCCTTCTTCGCGAAACTTATCCACTTTCGCTCCTTCTCTTCGGACCATAATCCAAGCGACTCCAGATACTCGCGGAACTTGGCTATTGGCGAATGGACGTTCCACTCGGCGATCTCATCGTTCGATCGATAAGCCGTCGAATCGTCCGACGTACTGTGATGTCCGATTCTAAAAGATTTACGTTTCTTACGACGCGCAACTTATTAACCGCGCCCAAGTTTTTCGCTGGAAAGCGCTCCAATGAAAAGGACGAGATCAAGGTATCCTTTCACCTGTAGGTCATGGCTTCTATCAAGACGGGTTTCTTATGCTCTATGCAGGACTTCCTGGCGCTCTTCGTGGCATTGTACATCGCGAGCACGTCGTTACCGTCCACTCGGATCGTATCGATCCCGTAAGCTGGACCCTTGGCCGCGATCCCGTCCCCTTGAAACTGCTCCTTCACCGACGTGGAGATGGCATATCCGTTGTTTCGACTGAGCGGAACAATCTAACCGTATATTCTACGAGCGAGATAGGAGAGTATGAGAACTATTTTTAAAAAAATTACCAGATGAAAATGATGGGGCACGACAGGGTAGCTGCGAAATTGAACCCCGCGTGGGCGTCGCCCTCGCTCGCCGCACCCTCGCCGAAGTAACAAACCACACACGCGTCCTTTTTATCCAGCTTAAAGGCGTAGGCAGCCCCCACGGCTGCAAAAGTAAAGGAAGCAACTCTGTTTCAGAGCACAACGTCCGTTGATCGGGACAACAAGAGCGCTGAAGTGACACTTGTTGGCGTTACTCGGCCAACTTGTGAACATCGGTACCTTGCGGAAGTTGAGTCGTCAACGGAGACGATATAGTTGTGAAATTGAACTCCTTGGAGCCGTAGTGCACCGGCATCTGCCTCCCTTTGCCGTCGTCCTCGCAATTGCCGTAACATTGATTCATGAACTTCTCCAACGGATACCCGCGGTGCAGCAAAACGCCTGTTACATCGAGATTTCAGATGCGTCAGATGACAAACGTGTAAACGCACAGTGCAATTTCATACCAGCCTCGCGGTACTGCGCGTAAATCATGTCTTCCAGCGTTAAAGCGGCAGCGGAGCCGACCTGCACAGCCTCTTCGCCGGTGTTCGTCATGTAAAACGAGATGCGGCCTTGCCTCTGCGACTCGTACAGAATTTTGTCCATGACGCTCAGGGTCACCATGTCGCGATACATTTTCACCAGGTACCCCTCGTTCAGCTGTAACACAGGAATGACGTTCGCTCTCCTGTGCCTTATTTCGGTGCCTTATCGTCCAATTCTTACTTTAATTCAGAATGTTCTTTGTAGCCCAGCACTCGCCGGGCTTGTCGGGTAGCTTTATTGTCCAAAATTTAATTCCCTTTTTTTTGTTATATAGAATTTTCAGAAAGAAATGTGCCAATGTAGATACAAGTTAGAGTTGTTTAAAAGTAGACATTTTTGAAAGGTATTGTACATGATAAACTTGACTTTAATGAACTCTAGCCGAACCTTGTCATCTTTAGGTAGCTTCGCCTTCTGCGAGTCCAAAATCCTGTATATCGGAATAGGTTCGTAATTGTCTCTATTGATGAATTGAACACTGTCGGTGAAGTGATTACTGATTCCCAGGAATTGCGGCTCTCCGGACCCGGTACTGTATAGTTTCATCTAAAAAATAATAATAAGATACCCAGATGTAGAAGAGAGTAACGAAGAGAGAAAGAATTAACGAAATGCTTATCGCATGAAATCTGAAAAATAATCTTTTTCTTTCACTTGTAATATTTTTCTTCGTTTACTTAATGTATTCGCTGCATTTCGTTATACTTATTTATAGCTGTGTTTTTACCATTTTTTATAGATAAAATATGCGAATGCACATGCCAAGGTAGAACGTAAAATCATAATGACATCACTTAAAGGTCGTTTTCCGAAAAAATCATAATGACATCACCTAAAGGTCATCTTAGAAAAAATCATAATGACCTCGTTCGATACATACTTTTAGCAACGTTTTAGTGATTTATTTTTTTATATTGTCCCTAAATGACTTTCGAAGAGAATAATATTACGCAAAATTAAATAATGTAACAGCAGCTTTTCTGCATCACAAATTGCAAAATTATGTTAACTATCGTTATATGCAATTATCATTATTATTGCATATATATTATATACATGGCACCTTATATAAGCAATGCTACATAAAAACTAGATCTTATAAACATTTAAAAACCGACAAATGAGTACTTATTATTTCTTAGGAATTATTGTTAAAAAAGAAGTTTTATTACACCAAATATAGTATTTAAAATATTTCTACCTAGGACACTGCGATACGAAACTTTACGCGCATCACCGTTTTGAAAAACAATGGCTGCGCTATTAGAACAATTAAGAGAATAACCGCAGTTACAAAAGTACAACAAAGTGAGCTTGATATTCGGCACGTTCATCGCAAGTAGATACGTGAGTTGCAATTCGTAAACAAAAGTATATAATTATAATGAATTATAACATGTGACATATACGAAACGTCCGTCTTTATCAACGTAGACTCGACTTTAATCTGACTTTTCATTTTTTCTTCTCGTACCAAAAATTAGAGGGAAAAGTAAATCGAGATAAAAATTATAATCCGCACAATAAACCGTGTTTACACCGCGGATTTTGTCAAATCTGTAGGCGCGATAAGACGTTTGCGCGAGTAGAAATGTGCGTAACGTTTTGCCGAGGAGAAACGTCGTGTAGACACTTAATTAAATCCGATTTTATAATTACAATGAATTATATACGAATGGATATACATACATTGGGGAAAAAAATCTGGTTGCATTAATTAGAAATCTGGTGGGTTCAACCAGTCGTCTGTTAGAAAATGGACGAAGCGAAATTTCTTTAGGACTTGCTAGATGCGCAGTGAAGTCTATCAAACTTCTAATTATGAAATACCGAGCCCTATCGCGACAACTAGAAATTCCGTTTGGTTTAATTGATACAATTAAAGCGTCTTTCTCAGTGTATGAATTTCGTCTAACGTAGACCTACACTGGAAAAAAATCTGATTGATTCAAGCAGTGGTCTGTTAGAAAATGGACGAATCAGAATTCCTTTAGGATTTACCAGATTTGTAGTGAAGTCTAACAAACTTCTCGTTATGAAATATCTTTCATGGTGAATCCTAAAGGAATTCTGGTAAGTCCTAAAGGAATTCTGGTAAATCCTAAAGGAATTCTGGTAAATCTTAAAGGCATTCTGATTCGTTCATTTTCTAACAGACGACTGGTTGAATCTATCAGATTTTTCTTTCAGTGTAACTTTGGTCTTAATTTTAATAGTCTTTTTTCTCGTTCGAAAAACTAGAAAAAAAAGTAAGTCGAGATTAAAAAATTAATCCACATATAAACCACGCTTACACGTCGCGAATTTAGCAACATCTGATACACTGAAAAAAGAAAAATCTAATAGATTCAACCAGTCGTCTGTTAGAAAATGAACGAATCAGAATTCCTTTAGGATCTAAGTACCAGATGTGCAGTTAAAGTCTAGCAAACTCCCGGTTATGAAATATCGAGCCCTGTCGTGCCGACTAGAAATTCTATTTGGTTTAGCCGAAATACGTTCTGCCGTACATGTCTCGTTGACAGAATCGAGGCGTGTTTCTCAGTGTGGGTGCGATAAGACGTTTACGCGAGCAGAGAAATGTGCGTCCGCCGAGGATAAGTGTCGTGTCAACGCTTAATTAAATCCGGTTTCGTAACGGCTGCAGATGTTACTAAGCGCGATTAATAGTGACGCGTGCGAAGGTACTCGTTGGTAGGATATCGTAGGGACGAATGATCGTTTGATTGCGGAGCACGTGATTGAGCAAGTACCTGTGACAAGGCGCGTCGAAAGCGCGGAACGCTCCGGAGTAGGTTTCTCGCCATCATTCTCGGGTTCGGGCCTGCTTCTACGATTGCTGGACACCGACACATGGATATATAGGCGCCGATAACGCTTGTAACGCAACTTACGTCACGCGTGCGTTTACGTAGACCATGCGTGTCTCAAGCGAAGGATGAACGGAGGTTAACTTAATAAAGGTGTGTTTACGATAAACCGTCTGGCGAAAAAGACTGCAAGATTAATCCGCTGAGAATTACTTGATAATAAACGCAATGACTTTAGGAGGATAAGAGCAATAAATGATGGACGCGCAGATAGATTTGCATGGACCGCTTGGTGTAGAACCGACAGCTTCTATATCAGAGGTAACGTACACACTTTTGAGTCTGCTTCTTCGGTAATTGCGTTTGTCTGTATAAAAGTATTCACACAAATATTCATGTGCGCATTTAAAGTAAAAACCGGCCTTTTCATTCAAATGCAGATGTCTCAGCGAAACATCATCGTATCGAGTAAAAAAGCATTTTGAAGGGGAGACTCTGTACTATGCTTTTTATCCCATTAAGTTGCAACACTCGCCTCTCGCCATGGCGTTTTAAAAAAAAATTATCTCGCAAAACTCCGAGTTACAATTTTATGGAATAGCTACAAGTTGATTAACTACATGTTCTTCGAAACTAGAACTTGGACCTGCATCGTAGACGCAGGCCTTGACATTGGAGAGCCTACGTTTCCTGCAACTGTACACTTTAACAGCACGTCATGCGCGTCCCTCAGTCTTTCTTCCGCACCCGATACACCCGTATGTATTATTTGCAGCTCGTAAGACCGACGATCTTACTGCATACAATAATATTGTAATACTTTCACGTTACACAGACGCAGCGGGCAAGGATGTCGCACGAAAGCTCTATATTGGCTAATTTAAGGAGAGCACAGGAGCGCAAACGGCTTCTAGAGGAATTGCAGATGCAGGAAAAACCTTGATCCCGGTATTGAGAGACCTCGTATGAGTTTGTGTATTTATTTTTTTCTATGTGAGAAATATATATATATATATAATGATAAAAAAATATCTATTCTTAATGTTTAACTTTACTCAACTCGTCGGGTGTAAAGCGCAATACTGTTGAGATGGCATTTAACATGTGCCGCTTGCTCGACGCGTCGTTCGTCGTTAAGTAATTTATAAATACATTCTTCAGATACTCCAGATTGGCACCCTCCCTCGATTTGCACGCTTCCAGCCTGCGACATAAATCTTTTGATCAGTTCCGTACGTAAATACCTATTTTTTTATTAATTATTCTTATCGATATTACGATTACCTAATGATATACGCTTTCAACCTTTTAATCTCTTCCTGTTGCTGTTCCTTTGTATGCAGCATCTCCCTCTGTTGTTCTCTCAACGTTGCCTCCAACTCCAAAATCTTCTTCCTCGACGACGACACCTGCACCTCCTTCCTGGCTAATTCCTGAGTGTAGTGCAATATCGGAGGGCTGTCGTTCGACAGCAATCCCGTTACCAGGTCGCTAACCGGCTCTATGGTACTCTCGTATCTCTTCTTATTTTCCGCTGCGCCGACAGTCTCCTTATTAGGTAGTAACGCGCGAAACGATGCTTTTAGAGTCACTATCTCTTTATCCTTTTCCTCCACGAGCGCCATAGATCGCTCTCTTTGCCGCAGCAATTGTTGCTCCAGTACGGATATTCTATTACGATACTCGTTATCCTTTTGATGCAACGTGTGCTCTAATTTCGAATGTTCTTCTTGAAATAGCTGAGGAGACGCAGTTTAGCTTATTATTATCTTAATTAAAAAGATTAAGCGATTCAACGAAAGTGATAAGGATTCGAAAATTCATCGCCACTTTCGAAACTGATTATTACCAAGATAATTACTTTTTGTTGCTGCTCCAGTTGTTCCTGTAAAACTCTCTCTTTGTTTATCATTTCACTGTTAATCATACGTATCCTTTCCTCCAAGTTGCTGTTGTGAACCTTAAGAAGATTCAACTGAGTCTTGTCATGATCCTTATCGTGCATCAGAGACAGACTGTGCTTTTGTTGTTGAGTACTACGAAGCACGTTAGACGACATGTTGTACTTGCACATTGCTTGACGCCTGTAGTCTTCAAATTCTTGTAAAAGCACGTCGTACTTCTCCTTGTAATCCGAATGCTCATCCCGCAGGTCCAAACTATTCAATAATGCTAAACATAAAACACGCGCTCTTAAGTTGTTTACTCCAAATTTTATCCCATCTTAACATTTTTGATCAATTAGTGTCACTTACACTTTATATGGGCCGAGTCCTTCTTTTTATTGTCAAGATTCAGTAGGCGAGTGTATAAGGACTTTATCTTAGAAATAATTTCCTCCGGGTGGTCACCCGACGTCACAACTTCGCCGTGCTCCGTGTCCTGCAGAGCGACCAATTGGTCCTTCAATTTCTGAATAGCTAATTGGTCCTGTTGCCTCAGTCTGTCGTAGCCTCCGACGATCTCGGAGAGTTCAGCTAATCGAGCCTCCAAGCCAGCCACTCTCGCCTCGTGTACAATAACCGAACCCCTCGCTTGCTGCTCCGCGGCGGCGGCTCTCTTTTGCTCCTACGTCAAAACGTATCGCTCAATTTGTACTGTTATATCCAACAAACGCGCTAAATAATTCTCTCAGCGGGCTTTACTTCACGAATCGCATTCAAATGTTGCTTCTTCATCACAGCCATCTCAGCTTGCAGGGAAAGAAGAAGCGGCGGTGTCTCCTTCGCAGCCTCCTCGGCTTGTTTCAGCTTGGTCTTGGTGATCTCCAGCTCGGCTTCGAGAATCTTGCACTGCGTCTTATTTGCGAGATGCGTCTTCAATTGCCCCTCCAACTGTTCCTTGCTGCGCTGCTCGTCATACAGTAATTTCTGTAATTCTCTGCAAGAATATCGTTCATGAATCTACAGTTCGTACAATTCAAATGTCGTTTCTATATTCGCAACGTACAAACATTTCGCGAATAGTCTAATTTTACATAATTACAGAAAGTCGAGTCGTTACTTAATCTTTTTGACGAAGTCGCCGTGTTCTTTCTCTCTCTCGTGCCGCTCCATGATTAATTTGCACTTGACGTGTTCGATCTCGGAATGATTGACATTTTGAGCCTTCTTCAGCCTGTCTTTCAGATCTTTGATCACTTTCTCACACTGCAAACATTAACGCTCAATTAAACAATCCTCTGACAACAGGATAGATGTCAAACTTCTCCTCTTACTTCGTCGCGCTCGCTTCTCAATTGCTTCTTATCCATTTGGAAATTCGCCTCCATTTTCGACTTTTCCGCCGACAGAGTGGCCAGTTGGCTCATCAACACACCCAACTGATTTTTCAACTGCTCCGTAGTTTCTGTATCCTCGGAATCTGTCTGGCTCTCGCGTGTCTAAACTTACAAAAATCGTAAGAATATTGATGACACACAATTGGCCTCGCGAGAAAAAATTGTTATACCTGTCGTTCATTAGTGGCCACATCATTTTTAGGAATGGATGACTCGTCCGTTTTATCTACTCTGTCCGTATTCTCTGTGCTCCTCACGTCAGTCTCCGCAACCTTCTTACCTAAAACAAATTCCTCGCTCAGCAACACGTTAAATAATTCTTCAAACAGTATGTTCATTTAGTAAAATAAGTTTGCACCTTGAACTTGTTCTCCAGGTTTGCTGCTCTCATCTTGTACGGTGCTCTTCTTGTCTTCCGAGGTTGCCATTGTTGATTATTAATCGCAGGCTATCGATGTTACGATTCACTAGTCGGCATCTGAAACAAAATTACACAACATTTTACATGATATACCCTGATTCTACCCATTATCAGTCGCTTTATAAAACGTCACACATTGGCCCAGATACTACAAGATACTCCTATGAATATTTTAAGAATATTCTTCAAGAATATTTGAAATATTCCACAGGTCATTCTTATATATATTTATCTTACGTTCGTGGAATATTCGACTGGCGCTACTATAAATCTTTTTCGAATGTGAATAGAATAGAAATAATCTATCGAATATAGCGTGTCGGTTATATATGGTATGACCACAGGTTTCACTGCCTTTTGTACAAGTGTATTACACAATAAACAATGTGCAGTACATGAACTCGATGAATATTAAAAAATTATTCTGAACGAATATTCCAAAGACATTCTCGACGACTATTCTAAAAACGTTCTTCTTTGCTACGAATATACGATTTCTAATTGTAATAATCTATATATATATATATTTATAGAATATTCTGAAATGAAGAATATTTGCACTCCAGAAGAATATTCATAGAACTATGTGTGTTACCTGGGAGGAAGCAAAATTGAAATGTCCTACAAACTAAAACTTATTTAAAAGCAAATTGACATATGCGATTGACGTCTATGTACGTTGGTACATAAACCATGTTTGTCGACGCTCCCATACAATGTTAAGAATCTAGTTGAAATTTTGCAGGGAGAGTTGAAACTTGAAATGATGATCGGGTGAAGTAAACATGTGCACAGTACATCACGGTACAAGTTTTATTGAATGATCTATTATAATACACGAGATGTTTGGCTTAATCCGACACTTCCTTGGTCCCTACAGTCACAGGACTGTCGTCACAAGTGGACCTAGCTGGGGATTCTATCTCCAGTGTCACCGGACCGCTGTTCTGTATGCAAACTTCCATCATCGCGCCGAACTTACCATCTGCACAAATTTGTCAGAGATAAGACCTCGAGCGGCACTTGGACTCCAAGCGTAGGAGGGAGCAAAGGGTGGAAGGAACGCGGATGCGTCAGAGCGTTACCTTTGACCAATTCCGGGACGTACTCTCTACGCAGCTCGGCAAGAAAGTTCATGTAAAAGGGCTCGGACTCCTGAGCGGGCATCGCCCGGTGAAAGTCCAGCTTGTTCCCCTTCAACACGTGGTACAGCGTGAACTGACTGACGCACAGTATCTCGTATTTCTTGTCCGCCACACTGGCACCCCACCGTTTACCCTTGCCGTCGTCGAAGACTTTGGTGTTCAGTATCTTTCTCACGCTACGACAGAGAGATCAATTACGTTCAGCTCCGCGACGACGCGCGACTCCGTGCTCATTGACATTGGCTGCATTTACATGTACTTGACGTCCGCCGCTACGTCGTCTCTCTTTATGCCGATCAACACGCACAGTCCGTTGCCGATGCTACTAACAACCTGGCCGTCAACTGAAAAATCACATACTCAGGCCTTAACCGCCGTCGCACACGAGTACCCCGGGTATCATTCCAGTCCGCTTATCAAGCACATAAATCGCAGGCATCGGCGATATCGACCAAATTGGTCCTTGGTAACGCGTTCAAGTTTTCTCTTATCGCGCAAATACAGATTCACGCAGACGCATGTCTGTAAACGTATTATACATCGGCAGCAAGTGCGCGTGAGCTTGCGAGCTGGCTTTACCTGAAACCGAGGCCTTCGACACTCGTTGTATCACGGCCTTCATATCGGCAGCCGTCCGAGAGCTCGGCGTCCACGAGACTCGATCCTGCGTTACGTCCGCGCTGCGATAAAGCGCCTCCTTTCCTCTCCCGCGGCGCAGGATCGAGCGTGGCGCAATACGCGCTCCCACGGGGCCAGCGGTTCTCAAGACGCGTGCTATCGCACCAGGCGTAAGAGGCCCGCGGGGCCCACTTTCCCACACACAGTGTTGTGCATAGATAATTTTAAAATTAGCTAGATAAAGATAAGATAAAAATATATAAATTTATCTTAAATAAGATAAAGATGACTTCGTTTTGAATATATCTAGATAAAAGATAAAATTATATTATGATTTATCTAGATAATTTTCAGATAATATTTTTAAGACTTCATGTAAACACAGTAGAAAAAGTTATAAAAAAATTATAGAAAAATTTAAATTATAAAGGGGGATATAGAATATATTCAGGTTAAGTTATATGACACACGCACAAATGCATGGTCTACAACGCCATCCATATTTAAATATTTAAATAGTGTAACTGTTAAGTATTTTTATGTGGCCCTAAACCAAATTATCTGTACGTTATCTTAGATAATTTAGTAAAAATAACACTTTCTTTCATCTAAGATGCAAATATAGATAATATATACTTATTTTTATTATCTATATAAAGATAAGATAACGCTAAAATTTTATCTAGATAATCATCTATATAATTTTATTTAGATAACAGCAAGCACTGCCCACACAGCACAGAAAGATCGCAGGAAGATTGCAGAAATGTTACATTGCAAGATTGCAATATTGCAGCAACGTTGCGCAACATTGCTGCAACTGTTTCTGGAGGATTGCAGCAACGTTGAAGTGTCCGCCCTCGGAGAGATTGCAGTGCAACATTATAGCAATGTTGCGGTGCAATATTTTTGGAATGACTTGTTGTTGTTGTACATAAGCAGAGAATTTACTAATTACATATGCATCCGCATATGATGTCCGCTGAATTGCAGTGTCTTGTAAACGTCGCAGTTCCAACATTCAGAAAACATTGTTAAATTATACATTGCGTTAACATTGGCCGCGTTTAGCAGAATATTTCTTACAACTGTTGGAAGTGCGGAAATTGAATTCCACTAAAATAATAATCCAATCTCAGCTCAGAAAATTTCTAACCGGTGCAAATATATGCATTTCATAATTATATATTTTTAAGTATCTGAGTGTCAAAGAGTAATAATTTGTCCGAGATTGTTTTAACGTAGCAGCAACATAAAGAATTAATCCATACAGCACAGACCTTGCAGCTACATTGCAGCTACATTACAGCAATGTTGCAATATTGTAGCAATGTTATTGCAATGTAACTGCAAGTTTTGTACGGGAATGTACGAACATTAACCCAGATTCAACGTGGAAAAGATATTTATACATCAACAATCAACATTACAACGTTCAACTTTCCTTCGGATCGACCCGGATGAGAGCCATCGGCCCGCGTGAAACGCGCCTAGGCGCGCAGAACGCGCGGGCAACGCGCGCGCGGAGCGGAGAGGCGGCTAAAATGGGCGGTCGCGCTCTAGTGATAGCTGGTGATAACCGTCGGCGGCGGCCAATCGGAGGCGAGCGAGTGGTCGCGGGAGACCATTTCCGCGTATTGTACGGGCCCTCCCGTACTACTACACCACGGTGTTCGCCGCTCTCTCGCGCGCGCGGCCGACTCTCCGCGGATTGTTTACAAGCGCGCGCGCTTCGGGGAGACTCTCGCGGATGTGCGCGGCATATACGGCGGCGTGTTGTGAATAATCGCGCAGGCAGCAGCGTCCGCAGCAGCAGATAGCAGCGGTCAGATTCCCGTAGATTCCCCGCGAGGGATGTGCGCGTTGCGACGCGTACCCTCCAGTAACCCCCGTCGTCGCGACGCGATAGCGGGGCCCGCCACCGCCACCGCCGCCGCCGCCGCCTCCGCCTCCGCCTCCGCCGCCGCCGCGGCGTAATATACCGTGTGTACGCACCGTGACCCACTTGTTGCGTCTAGGTTATGGCGTTATAAACAAAAGTATGCTGCGCACGATTGACGCGTCCGTGAGTCCGTCGTGAGCTCGGGCCGCGAGCGTGGAGCCAGGCCCGGGGCATGGAGGCCGGCCCGGGGCTGAGCCTGTTCCAGGGCTCGGAGAGCATACAGCTGAACGCGGTGGCGCAGGGACTCGAGGAGGACGAGGAGCAGGAGGACAAGAGGCGACTCAACGAGGAGGTAAGCGCCGCGCGAGTTTTTTTTCTTTCATCCCCGTGTCGACCCCGTGCGGCGGCGAGGACGCTCGCGTTCTGCTCCGCGGGATCTCGCGTCGCGAGGACGAAGGTGGAGATCGATGAGCCCAGGGCCCACCAGCGTGGTACTCGCGGGAAAAGCTTCCGGGGGATCCTCTCACGCTGGGAGAACAGTGTCTAGGACTCGCTGCGTGGAGAGTTTCCCCGTCGAGCGGTTTTGTAAAAGTTCGCCCCGACGTCGCGTGGCTTTGCCGCCGGCGAAATTGACACGTCGCGACGCGTTATTGTCCCACGCGAGATCACGCGTAGAGCTCGGCACGACAGTCCTGGGAGAATTGTATGCGGCGCAGGGAGCGCGAACGCACGCGAGATTCCCCAATGTACGCTTTGCCGCTCGCGTCGTTCGTCGCCAGAGAAATTGATATGTTACCGTCCCACGCGCAGGTTAGGAGAAACCGTGGACGGTATTCGTAGTCCGTTCTTATTTTGTCAAGTTATTTTACATTCTCGGTTTCACAACTTTCAGGCATTTCGTTTTAGCCAAATGCTCGGTCCTAAGTTTTGTCAATTGTTACTTAATTGACTTGGGCTCTTACTCAACGTAGCATCTGATAAAACTCTCCAGCGAGTCCAATAGCCATGAAATTCTACGGTGAAATCATCTTAAGACGGTCTCGAAATAAGAACGGACCATGTGTAAACTTGCACGACAGTCTTGGGAGGGGGAAGATTGAGAATTGTACGCAGAATTGTACCGCGATGAGAGGCAGGGAGCACGAACCAAGTTCCCAATGTATTCTCTTGCTGTCCTTTCAGATTCGGGACCGCCTGGACAAGGAGTTTGACGATTTGGAGAATGACGACGACGTCAGTTCCATCAACAGTAGTTATTATCAGCACGACAACACCAGAGGCACCGCCGACCACTCCGGCACGATGGTAAACTCCGGCCTGGAGTCGGTCACGTCCGCCAAGGGTCAGGTGGCGGTGGCGCATCTGCAGAAGGAGTTCGGTGTTTACGATCGGCCGGAGAATCTGAACAGTTACGATCGCGCGGACAATCTGAACAGTTACGATCGCGACGCGATAACGAATCATAGATCCGACTCCGAGATCGGCGGTGGGACCGGGCAGTCCGAGTACGATTTGTACGGGCAGACCGGGACGCCGTACGGTAACAGCAGGTTCAACGATAACAGCGTCAACAGCTCCACGCATGAGACGCCGTACGAGTTGGCGAGGCCACCGGCCACCGGGTATCCCCGCAAGATGCACCCGCAGTCGGCCGAGGAGTGCACGTTCGGCGAGAACTACCCTCACAACTACGAGACGCCATCCAATCATTACAATACTCACGTACCCAACAGGAAATACTCCAATAACGGTATTAGCGACGCGTATGAGAATAATGTACAAAGTAAGCAGATCCACGAGTTCGGCGGGGGCGACAACGCCACGTCGGACCACGTGAATCATTGCTATAAGACTAGTCCGAATGGCAGGCCAGTAGACGACGATGTAGCGTACAAAACGGCGGAGTATGATAGCAAGGAGCAATTGGAGATAATGTATATGGTCAGGATGAGGGAGATCAAGCGTTTGACGGAAGAGCTGCAGCAGCTGCAGCTGGAGAAGGAGGACGAGAAGAATCAGATGAGCAGGCGACTGATGCTGTTGCAGGCGGAGGTCGATAGGACTAACTTGTCGAGGAATCAAGCGCAAGAGGCACTGGGTAAGGAAAAGATCGTCAGGGCAGTTTCGAGCCTTCGAGACAATACTGATTAGCATTAACGACAATATTGCCAAGCAATCTTCATCGTAGCGATTAATTTAACATTTTATGCTTAGTAATGTAATGTCACATTAATATTATTCTATTAATTTATACATAGAGGAAAGTCCCCTATTATGAGACAGGCTCCTAATACGAAATAGCGGAGTTCCTGCTAAATTAATAGGCATCATCTGTTGGTCCCACCATGAATTTATTGCCCGTGGTGTGAAACCTGTTCAGTGGAAAATTGATTGTTAGATAGTGTAGACGTTACGAAAAAAGATTTGTGATTGAATTTGGACGTTGAAAACCTACTATCTCATGATAGAGGACTCTCCTCTATATTGTAAATGAAATGTGGATGCCTAAAATGAAACTGTTCACTTATACAGACAAGTAATATTATTCGACACAACTGGCTATAATTTAATTAACAGAACTTATTGCGAAAAATATTATCTCAGTTAGGAAGAAGGGAATGTTTCTCACAATAAGTTCTTTTAATTAAGTTATAACCAATTCTGTTGGAAAAAAATTGTCTGTTGTTTAATTACTGGCGAAGAAGAAAATTGTTACTCGCGTTTATACTTTTTTGATTAAGCCTCTAATCCGAAAAATATTACCTCAGCCAGGGTTTGAATCTGACGCCCGCCTAGAGTGTAGGGAGGTCCAGGCTCAAGCCCTGGCTGAGGTAATATTTTCCGCAATAAATTTTCTATGTTAAAAACACATCGTCAGTCATGGTCGATTACAAGCTTAATCATTGCTAGTCATTTACCGGCATCAAATAATTTTTGATGTTATTTGTACTTTTTTTTACTCGTATCCCTCATCTCTTCAATCAGTCTCTTGTAAATGGGACATGTATGAGGTTGAACCCAGAATCCAACGATTACAAGTAGACCGCTTTCACACAGAGACATCCCGACGGTTTACTTTGTCAATCTATTTTGAGTCTTTAATTGTTTTCTAGTCGATGCCAAGGCCGAGATTGCTGATTTGAAAAATAGAATGACGTCTCTGAAAGAGAAGAATGCAGTTTTAGAGAGGACGAATCAAAATGTAAGATACATGTTCGCATATTTTATGCCTATTAGTATCAAGTGCATCAGGGTTAATAGAATTGTTTTTATAGATAACGGAAGAAATGAATATTGCGAAGGGCTCTGTCATGGATTTGCAACAAAAGATTGTTGTACTGGAGAGAACACAGGTGTTGCAAACGAATGACAAGACGCACGAGAAGTTTTTGAGGCAGGCGCAGGAAAAACACGCGGTTGAGATGAGAAATATGCAGAAGCAGATAGACGATCTTACGGACAAGTTGAACGCCAAGGTATTACTGACTTCTCCGTTTAAATTATACATATTTCACGTACGTACCTTCTCTATAATCATATTTGCTATAGCTGCTCGATAAGGACACCGGCAACAATAATGTTTGGGCAAGTCTCTGTTGATTACCTTTGCAATCGCACGATTGCAACAAATGCATATTTCTCGTCGTATTTCTCTTTATAATTTACACATTAAAACAATTTTTCATATGTGCAAATTAAACATTTTATACATATTTTTAGTGCTATTTAATACATTTTTAGTTATAACAAACTTTTCTTTTTTTTCCTTATTGCTTTATTATACATTTTTGTGAGCATAATTCATAGATTTTGTTTCACTTAATTTATATTGTTTAACTCCTAATAGGAAACTTCGTGTGTCGCTCTTGAACATAAATTGGATGATGCACGAAGAGCACATGAAAGTCTCATGGTGGAGAAGGGTGACACTATGAATCGATTGGCGCAAGCGTTGCAAGACAGTCAGACTCAATGTCGCAATCTCATGGCCACTAATAACGCTCAGCAGGTGATGCAGTTGCAAGCCCAGGTGAAAATGTTGACTCAAGAAAAGGATGAACTGCATACAAACGTACACGAGTTGCAGGTAATTTGTAAAATTCTACGCCAACTTCTTTAATATAAATTATAAGAAATTACTTTTTTTGGACCAGACTCTTATTCACCTTAATGTCATTTGTATTGTAGAATAAACTGGAATCAGCTAAAAGTGACGTAGCGCAATACGATTCGTTGTTGAATACTCTGGAGGACGAATCTGACTCGATTAGACAGATGAAATTAGGTGAGCTTCATAAATCGAAATCGAAGCCCGTTGACGACATCACAAATAAATTGAGAGGAGAACTGCATAGGTAAATGCCACTTAAATACATTTCTCGTTTTCAAAACTTCATTTCTAATTAAGTATCGTGATAACCTTGTCGTTATTTGTTTTTATGCAACACTGCTTTTGTTTAGATGCCTTGCTGGCCAAGCTATGAAGAGAAAGGAAATAAACCGTTTAGAGAATACTCTCTCGCAGAAAGAAAAGGAGTTGGACAAAGCTTTGATATTAGCTGATACATGCCGTCAGGAAGCGGCACAGTATGCTAAGCGAATTAACGAACTGGAACAAGAACTGAGATCGGTATTAACAGACGAGGCCGTGAAAGCAAATGCAAAAATACAGAAACTCTCGGATCATTTGACTGACGTGAAAAAGCAGTATGAGTTGTTGCGCGAAGAGAAGATGAATTTGGAATGGAAATTAGAGGAGACTCTAGCTGTTAATCAGGAGAAACTTGAAAAGATGCATCAAGAGACTATGGAGCAGCAAGAAAAGGAAGCTATCGATGAGTATAATAAAGAGTACCTGGAGATACACGCTAAAGCCGTAGAGAGAGTGAAACAAGAGGCACAAGTGGAAATAATACAATTGACGTGAGCATTAGTCATTTTTGTAATATTTTTTAAAATTATTTTTTGTATAAAATTTTAATAATTTTATCAGCAAGTGTTGACAAATCGCTGGAATAAAGATATAAATGGAGTTTCTATTTTTAGTGTACAATTAGATCAAACGCAAAAGGAGTTAGATCATGTAAAAGAATTGTACATAAATGTATGCGGAACGAAAGAACAATTAATAAACGAGCATGAAAATGAAATTAAAACGCTAAAAAATAAATACGCTACAATGGAATTACATCAGAAGGACATGGAGAAATTGGCAAGTGAATTACAAACGCAGGTTAAACTGTGTAATAAGTTGACAAAGGAATGCGAAGACTTCAAAAGCAAGATAATCGAATTGGAAAAGGATCTAGTACACGAAAGAAGAAAGAAGGAGGATCATGTAAAAAAGATACATTTAGAGATAGAAAGAGGTAAGTGGTGAATCATGTAAAGTGAGATACGATATATATGGAAAGTAAATGTCGCAAACGGAGTTTGTTTTAATTTAATCAATGTTCAATTTCAAGCGAAAGAAGAAGCGCTACACGAACTAAGAAATGCTCACCCGAATCAAGAAATAAGTTTCCATCTGCCGGATCACTGTTCTGAACATTTAGAAAAAATTAATCAGGTATAAAATAAATCTGTACAAGCTTTAAAACTCCGAAATAGTACGAAGAGTTGTTAAGAATTGTATTTGAGATTAAATTATATCTTTTATTTATTTTTCAAAATCTGTCTCTCCTTCATGCTTCTAAATAATATTATGTTCTATCGTAGCTGGAGGAAGATTGCAGACGCTTGGAAGAGAAGCTTCAAGCCGCTGTGCAAGAACAGAAAAAATTATCGGAATATCAAACCGAATTGAATGATGCTAAATTGAAAATAGCGCAGATGGAAATCACACAGGAATCGTGGAAGAAGAAATTCGAGAAAGTTGCCAGCGAGAGAAAGGAACTTCTCGCAAAAGTTTCCAAATTAGATTTAGAATTGTTGGATTTGAAACGCACCGCGAAGCTGGAAGACTCGGATGATGTAAAATTGAAAATTGCTCGGTTTCAAGCGGAGAACGAAACGCTAAAAAGTCAATGCGACAGTCTGCTCAGTGAGAAAAACACTTGTAAAGAGAAGATCTCTGAATTAGAAACAGAGCTCTTCGACATGAGAAAGAAAGTTAGTAGCTTCGAGGGAAGGTTAAGGAAAAGCGGCGAAAGTACATTAAATTCGAAGAGTGAGTTAGAGAAGGAACTATCTAATTACAAAGAGTTGGTCACACAATTATCCAGGCTAAATAACTCGAAAGAGGGACGCGCGATCGAATCAGCAGTGCTGGAACAAAGGATACAACAACTCGAGCATGACTTACGGAATAAGGACGAAAAACTGAACAGATTATTGAAAGATTTCGAGAAGATAAAAGACGAGAGAGACCAGCTGGTGATGAAATTGCGAAATCAAGCCAAACAATTCGAGCAATATGTCAAGAGCCAGAATAAAGTTTCTGCGGAATTGAATCTGTCTCCCCGCAGTACGGGCGATAGTACGGACTTCCAGAAGATGAAGGAGATTATTGCGAAAGAGGTGCGGGAAGAGATGGAGCAGAGAGTAGCGAAGGAGCTCAGAGGAATCGGAGAGCAGAATAGAAAGGAGCTGGAAAGCGTGGAGGAAAAGTATAAAACTACTATATTAGAATTGCAAAAGCAGTACAGTGAGAAGGAACAGGAGATGGAAACCTTGCGGGAGAAGATACAGGCTGAGAAAATGAAGGTCAATAAAATCATTGGGAGCAAACTGGAGATATACAACCAGGCGCTGCAAACGCGAAGATTATGCATCGAGAAACTGAAGGAGGACCTGCAGAGAAAGGAGAACGAAATTGAAGAGGATAGGAATTACATGGCCGACATAATGACCAAGTGGGTCGCCGAGCTAAAAGAGGGTAAAGCCAAGGAAAAGGAGAAGGACGAGGAGATACAGAAGCTAAAATCTACTCAAGGAAAATTGAGCAGCGAGATCAAGACGCTGATGGACAAACAGAAACATGTGAAGAACAAATATCAAAAAGCGAAAGAGACCGCGTACAATTACAAGGTGCGTACACGAGAACCAGCATTTATCGATTATTTTTCTACGTAGGCATATAACGTGATTTGAATTTTAGAACTTTGCGGAGAGGAATCGGGAGTTTCTGTCGCGTGAGTGTAAACGTATCGAGGAGGGATACAAAAAGGCCATGGAACAAGTACAACAAGAGTTTCAGACGCACGACGAGCAGTACGCCGCGAAAGTCAAGGAACTTCAGAATCAGTATGCAGAAAAAGAAGAACAAATGCGACTGAAGTACAAAAATAAATGTTGAAGTACGTATTAAGTATTCTCTAAATACATATATGCAATATATATATATAGCTTTCCTCCCGCTAAGATAAAGTGGTAGTTACAGAGGCTAGATACCTTCTTTGTCTTTAATTTAAAGCACATAATTGTACAACAGTTTATTAGTGAAGTTTTATGTTAGGGACCAATATACATGTATAAGAGAAACCATACGATACCGGTAAAGTTATTACCGCGTTTGCTTGCCAATCTCGAATCTCGACAAAGCGGCGACGCTAAATGTAGCTCTAAAGCTATAAACATCTGAAGTACAATTAGGTAATCATAATATAATAGTATGCATATTATTAGTCGATAGGGAAAAAATCGTTTTTATATAATATTACCCAGTATCACCCAATAGAATCTCTATTCTGGAAAACCATCGGAGCCGAACTGCTCCTTTATTCTTTCTTTCTCATTCTACATCGCGCGGTCGCGCGACAAGTGTGTGAAGGCAGAGCGATGCAAGAGAATTATAGTTTACATGGGATGGCCGTTCTAGAATAGAGAGAGAGACCCGCGATAAAGGGGAACAGAATAGAGATATTCTATTGTATCACAATTTTTATATAAGTCGTCTGCAAGACGAAACGGTATACAAGCTCGCGAACAAAAGGGAAAGCTTTAGTCACATGTTTCCGCTGAGCATTGTTATGACATAATACGCAAGACTGGATCTCTCTGTCGGATCTTTCTCTCTTTCTTTTCACTCTTACGAAAGTAAGCGCGATAAAGAGAGAAAATCAAACATAGACTTTAAGAAAAACGTTCAATTTTCGACCTCGCGCTCTTTTCTCTTTCTCTCTCTTCCTCTATGCCGCGTAGCGGGGTTGAAAATTATCTCGTTGTTCCGCCAACGTTTATTCTCGAGCATTAGGCTTCTGTTTATATCTCGTGCGCGAGAAGAAGCAGGAAATAATATCGAAATTGTACAAAGTATAACTTTTCGAGATTTATATATGACACGTTCTATAACTAGAATTCAATAAAATTCAAATTGTATTAAACATTTTTTAGTGCGTTAGGTAGCGGAATTAATGCCCGTTTCTACCAATGCGGATTAACTTTAATCTCGGTTTAAATTGCTTTTTATCGTTTTCTAATTTTTAAAACTAGAAAGAGATCTAAAGTAAGTTAAACCGAAATTAAAGTTAATCTACATCGTAGATCGTAGAATCGGGCGTAAGTAACAAACGTTTACGTTATTTTTAAGTCTCAAGTGACTTTAAAATGTACATTTAAGTAACAATTAGATCTGAGGCTTTCGTATCTCTTTTTTTTCTTATTTACTGAAAAAATTTGACGAACCGTCTAATCGAACGAGCAAGACGCGAAAATTCTTCCCTCCTCCATCGTTTCTCTCTTTCTTTTCTCTCTACCTCTCAATTTACTTTTTATTATTGTGTGCAATTTCAGTGAACGGCCAATTACGTGTCGGCTTGTATAAGAATCGCGGATTATAATATAAATCAAATCCCTGTGTATATCTCTTTTATGCGAAGATCTTGATAAGATTTATTTCGGCATCGATCCGTCGCATGCCCGTGCGTTTAAGTAAGTAAACATTAGTTCACCAGTGTCGTCACTGAATATAGAGAAGTATTATTAATATTAGTTATTGTATTTTTGTATGTAGAGTGTATTAATTTATTTTTTGTAATAAAGAATTTTATGTCGCTGTCGAAGTATATATCGTCGGTACATTACTTCACTCCGATAATCTTTGTTTTACGTATGTAAAAGTTTGTAACGTTAACGTTAAAACGTGGAAATTTTAACAATAAATAAACGGCATTCAGAGTCGAATGTAGTATGTATTTATAGAGATATACCACGGAGAGAATTTTCTCTTAAATTTCACCCTGAAAATCATGTAATCGTGGGACAACATGGCATTTTAAAGAACTTTATAAGAGCTTTTTGAAATTTTACCATGCATTTTATTAATAAAATGTATACTAACAATAAGTATAATTACTAGTAAAATGTATGGCAAAATTTAAGAATTAAAAATTCTTATAAAATTCTTTGAAATGTGTTGTCCCACGATTATATGATTTTTAGGCTAAATTTTGAAAGAAACTTCTCTCCATGTAGATAACAAGATAGAAAATACAGAATTAATATTGAACGGGTTTTTGGACTATCATTAAGCGCAGTAAAAAGTAAAAATTTTATGCATCTATATAGGAATATGTTTAATATATGTTTCTGCAATACAATGCATTTGCGATAGTACATAAAAGTAATGTATAATTTATGTATATGTAAAATTGGAGAAGTTGATCTTACTACTATGCCTCCTATCTTCTGATCGAGCAATCAATATCGGTAACCAGGGTACGTATTATGGAATTTTTCGGAATGAATTTCGATCAGAATTATTTTGATTTCCCCCAGAAAACACAATAGAAATCTAGGAAATAACTAAATAATTCCGATTTGTACTTTCGTGTCATTTTGATAATTTTTTTTATTTATATTGCAAAAAGGGTCAATTATACATATATAATTATATATATATATATATATCCGTTTTGGGCGTCACTCTTTATCGAGGAATAATCAGCATAAGAAATAAAATCACCTATTCTGTAAGCTATTATATTTATAGTCTAATTCGGAGTATTAATTGAAATTTTGATAATTCACGTCAGAATTATTAAAGTTAGAAGTATTAGAATAATTTAGTGATTAACAAACACGTTGAAGTGTTGTCAAAATTAGTCGAGTGTTCATTCTTAATTAACTTAATTTTGTATACATGGACGGAAAATTACGTTGCTGTTTACATTAGCACGTTACGTAATTCTTACTTGTTATATTGGGTCATTCCATAAAATGCAACATAAAAGAAGTTTAATTTATTCTCTAGCTTAAAATCAATAGACTTTTATCACAAAGAAATTGAAAATTTATCACAAAATGGAAAAAATGTAAGTTGAATATACATTATAGATAAAAATAAAAATGTCCAACTTATTTTACTTTGAAAATATCTCTACAAAAACCGTATTACTTATGATATGATCCAATATTTGTCATTAACGTGTACATATATAATATGAATAATTCTTAAACATTATTAGCAAATTATAGCATACATATATATTTAACTCATTAAGTCCTAGAAGTCCCCTATGTGCTTTTGTTTTAAATATTTGTAACGTGAGTTCTATAATACAAATGTTTAAATCGCAATTGATATTTAGAAGTAAAATGAATTGCTCTTACTAAAAATATAGAATAAATCGACGTAAATATTATTTGAGTAATCTATGACAAAAATTTCGTTCCAAAGAGGTAGACGAAATTATTTATTAGTTGAATTTGTATTTGTCAACTAAAAAATAGCGATCACTTACTTTTTGTTACTTACACTTCCTACCTTTATTATATCTTACTTTTTCAGGTCATCCCACGTAACAAACTAGATTTTCAAAGAGAGCAATTCTTTTACTTCTAAATACAATTTTGGTTAAAAAATTTTGATTAAGATCACAGTTACAAATATTTAAAATAGAAGAGCGGTTAGAAGTTTCCTAGGACTTACAATGAATACTGTTAATATCGAATATATGTAGTTCTGTGTTTTCCTATTCAAAATTTGTAATCTTCTATTTCACTTTTTATCTCGTTAGATAAAAAATGGCATCAATATAAATATTTATTATCAATTTTTGCTTTTGTTTTTAACAAGTAAACTGTTTTATATGTAGTACAACTTTATACATTATAAAGTGAAACGTATTCATATATTTTTTATAAACTGCTGATTTAATAATCATCTGTGTAAAAATTCAACGTGTATGATATATTCCAAATTATTTTGCTTATTTCGGAAATATAACTGTAGAATGAGGTAGAGTTGTCTTACAGTTACAAATTACGAAGTAGAGACTGGGCAATTTTCTAAACAAAAAATCGACTAATTGAAATTATAATACTTACGAGTTTCATAAGAATGAAATAAGACAATAAGAAAAAAAGTATACGTACATTTGTATAAATATAAAAAAAATTTTGCACATGTATCAAATACTTTGTGTGTATATGTATATATACATATGTGTAAATGTATAAATGCACAATTAATTAGCTAATAAATGCTAATGTTATTTGTGAGCTTTAAAATAAAGTCTATGCCAAAAATGTATATTATATAATAGATATACATACATATATGTATTATGTATGTATGTACATGAGAGATATCATAGATAAATAGTGTATTCTTTTGGCTTATTGAATAAAAATTAAGCTCATTGTATATCATTCTGCACGACGTTAGATCAATCACAAATGATCAGTCTTCTTTCAGTCTTCTTATAGAAATAGGATTCCTTTTAAAATTTGTGGAAGAACTTAAGTGCTAAGGTATATCAATGTTAAAACCCTGAGAACACAGAAGCATCTAGGAGTTACACGGCACCCTCAATCGGGTTTAATAACATCCGTAGTTAAGGGGCTGGCCAATCACTGTCATTCCATTCCTCTGAGGAATAATTGTGGTTGACCAGTTTTATAACTACAGATGTCATTAAACCCGATTAAGGGTGACGTGTAAATATAGTCTTATAGGTCTCTATCATCAAGGTCCGGTTTTACCAACATCGCTTAACCTTAGGCTTAGCTTAATTCGTACTCTGGCTCTTTCCCACTGTTACTTTAGAAGGAGACAAACATGAATTAAACAAAGATTAAAGTTAAGCGACGTTTGGTGAAACCGGGCCTAAGTAGCACTAGCGAGTAGTAACAATATTAATTTTTCATCTATCAAGGATTAATCTATCAGATCACAAGATTACTTCATTAGGTATAAAGGCCTTAAAGCATCTCATTAAATCTCATTTAACATCTGTTTTAGTTTCCATTAAATTGTTTAGCTTTCCTGTTTAAAAAAACCGTACAAAATTATGGTTATTTTATACTATACTACCGCAGATTCGTACAAACATAAAGAAAACTATTCCTAGAACGACATCTAAGATCTTGTTTCCAGCGCTACTCCTGAAGGCTGCGACGTCGCCCATTTGGAACTGATTGGTAGGACTAGACATCCGACCGTCGCCGCCCTTGCTGAATGCAAGCACTCTTAGATTGTACCACTTGCCTGGACTCAGATTCTTGATGTAAGCTTCTAGCTTGGAACCACCTGATATGATTGTGTCGTTTGCTGTACTCATATCTCGATCAGTCTCCCATACACGGATTTTGTATCCGATCAGCGGCTCTTCCTCCAGGCTCGGTTGTACATAACGCCAGACTACTCTCACCGTTGACGGGTTTATATCATATATATTCACAGATGACGGCGGTTTCTGCGGTGGCTTACGATAAGTTCGCTCTAGGTACCGTTCGCTCTCCGGACCTTCTCCAGCGGAGTTATAGGCCATTACCTTTAAGAAATTCATGATCCTCATTTAAATCTTTTATTCATAAATTTGTCAATGTAATTTAATTATCTCTCTGTTTGTATATTTGTTAAATAATTAATAGTACATGTAATAAATATTTTAAATTGACTTTGCAATTGGATTTTTCAAATTGTATATTCTTAGTAGATGTTCATGTAGAGATACAAATCAAAGATTTTTCACTCTTTACCTTCACGTAATAATATGTATCTGGCTGTAGTCCAACGACTAGTGACCACGGAAGAATGGTACGTGACAAATAATAAGTAGCGCCTTCCTCGTCGCTATTCTTTTTCCAATACTTAATTCTGTGACCGATCAGCTTGCCTCGTATAATGTCACGAGTCTGTTCAATTGGTATCCAGCTGACGTTCAAGCTGGTACTATTGTAACTCATGGCGAACACTTGCTGCGGCGCAGCCTGCGGCATATCCTCTGCGCTATACACTGTCTCAATTTTAGATACTGGACCCTCACCAATTGAATTAATCGCTTGTACTCTTACTTCGTATTCCGTATAATAATAATTCGATGTGACCGGTACGACACTGCTACCGATATTGCCATATTTTTGTAAGGACAATGACTGAAACTCTGTGTGAACTCCTTTGCGACGCCAGAATATCTTATAATATATTCCAGGACCGTTCTGATAAGATGGACTGAGAGGTTCCCATGTAATTGTGAGGTCTCCGAATTTTCCTCCACCACCGCTGATATTCGACGGTGCTTTCATAGGTTTGTCAGACAAAGTTGTGTATTGAGGTGAGGGAGTTGACGGTGGGCCGTAACCAAATTCATTAAAGGCAAGCACACGGAACGCATACGTATTATACGGATATAAAACATTTTTTAGCAATGCCTCTTTTCGGCCGACGTATCTATCTATCTCGATAGCCGTAATATCTAAAAGCAATTACGTACGTGAAGTAAAGCTACACAGAGAAAATGGTTATAGAAGTCTTTGAACATTTAACTTAAAATGGCGAGCGTATTGGAGAAATCATAATTAATAAATGTGAATTATTTCTATAAGAAAACAAAGGCAAAACTTACTTTCTATAAGAGGAAACCATGTGCGATTCGCGCTTGTTTGCGCGCTGATTGTGTACATAGTTATCGGTTTGCCGTTCGGGGCACCATCGGTCCACCGTAATGTGACTGAATATTTGCCGATAGTCGCAATCTGCACTCCACCAGGTGAACCCGGTGGTCCATGCACGAACAAAGTAAGCTTGCTCGATATTTCGCCAATAGCGCTTCTCAAGTTACATCCGTACTCTCCGGCATCAGTAAATGTGGCACTTGTAAGCTCCAGATATCCACCATCAATACGTAATCGTGGATTATACTGTAAGTCACGGATGTGCATGCCATTATAGGTCCAAATATATGCTACTTCCAATATTCCGTCTGTTTCGGCTAAACAGCGCAATGTCAGATTATGATTGCAGTTCAGAACTCTCTGTGGCGGCAGTCTGTGAATAAATTGTGGTTTACCTGCATGAACAATATAATTCGTTAATTAGCCGCTATATCTAAATCAATTGTTATCTATATGGCAATTCCAAATTTTTACCATAATATCATCGTACATAAATGATAAATATCAAAGATTCACTTTGACAATCTACACAATTTAATACGTTCTGTTAATATTTCGTTGCATTAATATTTCTTGCAAATTCAAGATTTCACGGAGTGTCAAAATAATTGACTTACGTAGTACGATTAATCGTCCGCGAGTTTCATCGTAGCCATATTCATTTTTCGCACTACACACGTATGTTCCCTCATCGTCTCGCGACACTGGACTGATAATAAGATTTCCACTTTCAAGAATTGTTCGTCTACCGCCTGATTCGAACACATTCCCATCTTTCTTCCAAACAAATTTTGGCATAGGTGCAGCCTCAGGCTTGCATACAATTGTGACACTACCACCTTCAACCGTATATGTTTCAGATTCCATAGGCTGTTTTTTGAAAGAAGGCCTCAATGCTGAAATATCGAATAAGTGTTATATAGTAATGCTTTACGTAATGACACGGTGAAAATGATGATCTATTATTTTTATTATTACTGTGTAGTTGGATATTGGGAGATATAAATACTCACACAAGACCCTAAGTTGTGCCGATGAATATCTTGTTTTTAACTGATTTTCAGCGCGGCACTGATACATAGCCTGATCCCTTTTAGGATCCAAACGTCGTATATTTAGTACATTATCTTGTATAGTATAACGATCTCTATCTTCACGCGGTAGAGTATATTTATTCAAAAGTTCTCCGTTTCTATACCAACTGTAAGTTACATCTGGTACCCCGAATGCTTCGCAGGTCCAAATTAAATCCGCCCGATTATCCATGTGCTTGTCAACTAAAGGAATGGTAAAATTAGGCGCCGCTTGTACGGTCAGTCTCACGGAATTTTCAATGGATAATCTGTTGTTATGCACTCGGCAAACATATTCGCCTTGATCCTCCACGCGTACACGTGGTATTATCAATACCCGATTGTAATTTACTATTTTTGCTCCATGCGGCAAATCGGAACCCTTTCTTATCCAACTGTACTTAGGAACAGGGCTGCAGAAATTAATTATTATAATTACAAGATCCATATATCTTTGCACATATATA